CTAAGCCTCTGGTTGGCCCACTAAGTGTTACTTGTTGGTAGACAATATCCTATTGGCCACACCAATAGGTCTTGATATCGTTAGCGTCATTGCTGTATTATCGTGGGAATACTTAGTGATGAGTGCATGGTTCAGGACAGTTGATGTGAGGGGGGGGCGAGGGGGTAGTGGTGGAGGTGATGGTTGAAGGTGGTGGAGGCGGTGGCAGAATTATTGCGGAGGAAGGTGGGGGAGAGAAATTGTTTGTATTATTAGAATTCACATTCTAACTAATTAGTGTGGAACAGACCTGGCGTGAGGGTACGACCGGCTCATTACTGCTGGAGTTACAGACTTACAGCGATACCAGCATGGGCCCCCAGGCAGCTGCACGTGAGGGGCCCGCCCACCGGAGGCCAGGACCCCGCCAAGGTCCACAGACCCCACCAGACCCAGAGAGCCTCACAGAGGAGGATCACTGCCCCACACATTCCCCATCCCAGCCTCCTAAAAGGAGAGGACTTTTAGTAACGATGTGGTAGAGTACAAATATGTGGTGATGGAACCAGAAAGTAGACTTTTGTATTAGTGAATTTATACAAACCGGGAAGATTTTATATTTATGTAGCTAATAAACCCAAGCCTAACCTATCCTAACCATCCTAGGCCTAATACACGCTATCTGAGGCCTACTATAGTACATGCATGTGATATACTAGGCCTAGGAATATTTAAATTTGGTTTTCAGCTTTATTTTTTCCAAATTACATAAAAAATATTACAAAAAGTGACTTACTGGGGCTCCATTACTACATATAGGTACGATCGAACAGTTAAAATAAGTACTAGAATTTCAGAAGGGTTGGATCCCCATATAAATTTAGAGATTCAGACGGACGTCCCGAATCTCGAGTTATACCTGTAGGGTGTCCCAGAATTGGTTAGCTATGGCTATGAAAGCGGAGGAGATTTTTAGAAATTAATGTATACTGATGTTTATCATGTTTAATGTGTGTTATAAATGTAAACAGTTCTAAATTATTTTATCTCTTTCCAGAACCCCCCACAAGACCGCACCGTTGTGGTGACGTCCCGTATCAACGAAGTGCGATATAATGACATCAGAGAATGATTTACAAGTTCACAGAATCGGTCCCACAGACAAAGCGATTCGTGAACTTGTGAAAAAAAATTCAAAGAAGCGGATCCATGCAAAATGTGTCTGGTAACGCTAAGTTTATACTTGCAATATGCAGGGACAACCGGAGCACATGTTCAAAGTTCTCAATAATGATTTGACATGATTTATAAGTCTATCTGTTCTTGTATCAAAATGGTATAATAACGTGAAATGATGTAGGTTCTTAATAGATTCGTCCGATTTCATAGAAATAGATAGCTAATGCTGGGACGCCGTGTAATAACCCAGCAGCTGTGTTGATGGTCACAAGATGTGCTCTACTAGACAACAAAGAGATACTGCTTGTGTGACGGGGATTTATGGGTAACACTGTCGATGACCTGTTTACTGGTCTAGTGAGTGTAACTTGTGGTGGTGATGAGCGGAGTGTAGGGAAGACACCGTCGTCTCACCGGCTTTCGCTTCGCTTTGCTTTGATGTCCATAGGGAATGGAAAGGATGGGGGAGGTAGAGGGATGGGGAGATGAAATACAGGAAGACTTGTTACTTCAGTGAGCTGAGGCTCGTGAATCTCACTTCATTTCATGATGTTTTCTGTTAGGGATCTTCTCTATAGGATGTGTGCAGCATAATTCTCTTTATGTTGGTTAAAAAGATACATTGTGTGACCACTTCATTATTGGTGAATACTTATGTGACGAACTAAGGGAGCTAGTGGCAATTCGTAGTTTGACTCCATTGCCAATTAAGGTCATGAGTGTGCGTACCTGGCCTCACCTGTGGACATGTTATTGTACTCGATTAAATTCAGTTAAGGGGCACTTACGCCCATCTCGCTATTATATGTTTCACAGAAAGTAAATACACTTGCTGGCACATAACTGCCAGTACCTCATATGTTATGACTTCCAGCTATTCCCATGCTGAGGTTGAGCTGACGGCCTCTACAGCTGCAGCATCAGGCTGGGTGAGGGCAGAGCCTGGTAGGTTTACACCGTGACAAGGGATCGCAGCTACAGATGGATGACAAAAAATTGTCTGTCTGACTGTTGCAGCTCAGAATCACAGTCTAGAAAGTAGCGACTAATCTACCGACAGTATAACCTGCTTACACATACTTTGGGACAAGTGTACTACACCCAGACACGGAGCTCAGAAGTACTAGCACTGACCCCAGGTATAAGGTGCAGGGGCGTCAACGCAGATAAGAAAAGAACAGGTGCACTAACCCTAAAGACACAGACACAGATGTCCGATGAAATTACCGTAGTCTAAGAAAGGGAGCAGGTGTGACGTCACCAAGACAAAGTGCACGAAAGAAAGGCGTGTCCACGTGGAACACTGAGCACTTCCACCCAGAAACAGAAACTCAAGAAGGCGCTGGTGTCGGTCTCGAGACCTCAGAAGGTGTTGACCCCACCTACTGACCCCCCCAATCCTTTTGGTTCGACCCCCAACCTTTGACCGGGCCTTATGGGAGTTGACCTCTGCCCACTGACCTCTGACCCTCTTGGTGCAAGCCGTATCATAAAGACTTCTTACTTTCTCTCTTTCCAAACACACGAGTGATTACTGAATAGAACCACAAGCACAACCTTCCTGGTGAACTCCCTGACCACAGGCTTAACTGAGAGTATCAGTTTACTTTCGTAAGCTGTGATGATATTTCAGGATACAGTTGTTCGTAACAATGTACCGAACAGCTCCTGGTTTGGCGCCAGGCTTCTATCACCCGCGGGAGGGTTAAGAAGACCACCATAATACCTAACTGAGACCTACCAGCAAGAATACTGTAGTCCTGAACATAGTCCAGGACTAACAGAAACTAGTATATACATATCGTGAATCGAGGTTATACACCTCTATCTGTGCTGTATCCTTTGCAGCTGGTGCCAATATCTGCTGTGTAATGGTGGCATTACGAGCTCTTGGTTCCAGGATACACTTACGGAACTGTGTACGGAACACTTGCTGCTAAGGTACACTGACCACACTCGGTCCAGTTCCTTGTTCATAGATTTTTATACAAAACAGCTAGAGTTACGCGATTTAATCCATTTACATATCTATTTAACGTTCAAAGAACGAAAAGCCGAACTAATTTTAAAACCAACACAAATATCTAGATAAGAGAGGCTTGAGAGAACGCGTAAGACTGATCTTGACAGCGAAAAATGCAGACGTGACGACATAACAAATTATTAGTTTAAGTCCATTTCCTCAGTGGGGAATGATACGGCGGACTTTGCAACAGTGGCGGAGGAGGCCACCTTGCCAGATTTTCCTCACAAATGATCAAGACAAACAGTAGTTTTGTGTGTGTGTGTGTGTGTGTTTACTAGTTGTTTACTAGTTGTGTTTTGCTGGGGTTGAGCTTTGCTCTTTCGGCCCGCCTCTCAACTGTCAATCAACTGTTTACTAACTACTCTTTTTTTTTTCCACACCACACACACACACCCCAGGAAGCAGCCCGTGACAGCTGACTAACTCCCAGGTACCTATTTACTGCTAGGTAACAGGAGCACTTAGGGTGAAAGAAACTTTGCCCATTTGTTTCTGCCTCGTGCGGGAATCGAACCCGCGCCACAGAATTACGATTCCTGCGCGCTATCCACTAGGCTACGAGGCCCCCCTCGTAGCCTGTGTGTGTGTGTGTGTGTGTGTGTGTGTGTGTGTGTGTGTGTGTGTGTGTGTGTGTGTGTGTGTGTGTATGTGTGTGATGACTCAGGTTTTTCAGAGTCCCTCCATGCACATCAGGGCCGCCCGAGGCTCTGCCACTGCTCCATGGAGGACAGAAGAAAATGTATATATGCTGGTTAGCATTGTAAATGTGTGGCCACGTCTGTGGTAGAAAATAATAATAATAATAATAATAATAATAATAATAATAATAATAATAATAATAATAATAATAATAATAATAATAATAAACTGCCCTGAGTTGGGGTTTGGTGGGGGGGGGGCGGGGGGAATGTATGCCACATCCATTACCATGAGAAACCATACTCCCTCAACCCCTCCCCCCCCCTGAAACCACCTGGATAGTTATCTAGATATTTGTGTTGGTTTAAAAACATTTTACGGTTCCATTAATAGTTTACATGCAAACTGGCAGGTGAACCTTTGTCCTAAAACAGATTTTGTTATCAAGTTATAACTTTATTTTATTATAAATAGTTGCTTTAAAATAATGTTGAAGATGTTTTCGTTGAAAAATTTTGTTTTCTCTAAATAGAACTCTCGCATACACTCAAATAGTCTTCGAAATTTATATTTCACATTATCGTCAATAATACTCTGTATAAGATAAGAAAATGTAATGATACCTAACCTGATTAAACCTTAGCGTAAAGTAATCTAACCTAATCATGGCCAGAGGAGGGTTGGGAGGATAGTGTGGGTTAGGAGGTACGTGTACCATCATTGTTTATGTAATAATCTAAGATGAGGTCTGATAAAGACCTTTTATGCCCTCTGTAATGCTTTTGCGCTACCGCTCACAGGATGAGTATGGGGTGCACAATAATCTAGCCGCCTTCGGCGGCAACAATAAAAAATCAATGTACCATAGCACAGCTCTTATGGGGGGTGGGGGTGGTGGTGGTTTGTGCGCCATAATACCTTCACTCCACACTGCCTTTGTCACTGTAACCATCTTCACTACATATCAATGTAACCATCTTCACTACACACTGCCATCATCATTTAATCATCTTCATTACATATCACTGTAACCATCTTCACTACACACTGAAGGCTAGTGAGTAGTGAAGATGGTAAAATAAGACGTCGAAGAAGATGGTAAGAGGACAGAGTAGTGAAGGACTGCGGCTCTACGTTGGGTTTCGTCGCTGGACAGTGGGACGATAAGGCGGCATTTTCACGGGGTGTCATGTCCTGAGACCACGTCCTCCGAGGTGGAGTCCTCAGACATCGACGAGTCTCGGAGCGGCCTCGTCATCTCGCGTAGGTACGTCCTGAGAACGTCAGTACTGGGTCTGTTTTCCGGTTCTTTATGCATGGCTTTTTTTAACCATTTGATGACTTCTTTCGGCAGAAAGGTGGCTTTGAGGCGTCCCAGCAGTTTGGTACAACACAAAGCGAAGCTGAAGATATCAGAATTATCATTACATCTCTTGGCATTTAACACCTCAGGAGCCATCCAAGGAGTCTTTGCTTTTCTCTCTTCGGTCCTCGGTATTGTATAAAGCTTTTTGCCAATTGTCGTCGACAGACCAAAATCGATGAGAGTAGCTTGGGTAAATTCCTTGACTATCTTGATACAAACATTGTCAAGTTTAATATCATTATGAGCCACTTGCCGTCTCATAATACCCTAAGTTGCTCTAGCCAGATCATCCATAATCTTGATCAATTATCGCTCGTTTATAGTACATGTTCGCATATATATATTGAGAGGTATGCCTGCGTATACCGTTATCAGGAGGCACTTGCTTATGGAGACGCCGACTAGCTGCTGGACACACGGGACCTCCTGCACTCTTCGTAGATGATATAGCTCGTCGTACAGCGACTTATAGGGTTAATGTCCTGAATATTTTTTGACGACCAGGTCCTGGTCATCGCTTACCACACGGCAGCACGCTCCGTACGTCCCCTGTCCTACTTGGGTTTTCAAGCCGTCTAGTTTGTCCACGTCGTCTGTGTCGAACACTTTGATGTTATACTTCTCGCACAAAGATTCAAGTTTGTGCAAATAGATGTCGTCTTTTGTTTCACGAGTTTTTTGCGTCACTTTTGGTTGATGTATATTTCTTCTTAGAGGCACTTGATCGTTTATAACATCAGTGACCATAAGGTTTAGTGGTGGCAAGTCATTCCCCGGTTCGGGTACTGGCAAGGCATTACTCGGCTTGGGTACTGGCGAAGCCTCTACGAAAGGCATATACTTATCAACCCATTTGATGTCTTTTATTACAGGTCTCCTTTCTGGGTCTTTCCTCGAGGATCTTCTTATCCACTTCTCAACTAATTCTGGCAGCATTGTGTTGTTTTCTCTTTTCAGAACTTTGCATATGAATGCCAAGCCATATTGGTCAGACGTTGAGGTGGTGACCTTGGCGTCAAGTATCTCGGGTGCTATCCAAGGGGTTTTCTTTGTGCTTCTTTTACGCTTTGGAATATTGAGAAGTTTTCTCCCAACATGCTTCGCTAAGGTAAAGTCAATTAATGTCGTTTTAATTCCTGAACTGGTTTCTTGAATGCAAATGTTAGTAAATTTTAAGCAATTATGGACAACATCTCTCAATAGAATGCCCTGAAGTGTTCGAGCAAGGCTTGATATAATGCACATTATTGTTTTCCTATTCAATTTATTATCTTAAGTGTAGTCCAGCAGAGTGACCCCAGCGTATTGAGTTATAAGAATGCAGCTGTTTAAACACACGCCCAACAGCTGCTATACGCCCCGGACACCCTGTACCAGGCGTAGGTATTAAGTCTCATGATACAGATCAAAGTATTGTGTATCTTGTATAAATTTTTTGAACACCAGGTCTGAAGCGCCGCTCGCCACGCGGAAGCAAGAACTGAATGTCCCATTCCCTATTTTAGTTATCACACCTGCTTATAAAATCTGCTCAACTTGGTTTATGGAGAACTATCTGATCCCCGTACTATTGCACAAGTTCTAAAGCTTATTAAAATAGTTTGTGTTCATTTGGTTCTATAACGTTGTGTTCTTTTCGCTTCTCCCTGTCCCTTAATCTGCTTTTCTGTCGGCAGTTTTAATATTCTTGATTTTCTTGTTTTACGCGCGCTAAAACATTGTGGCAAAACAATACTGTTTTTGCCTTTAGCAACTACACAAATACGTCGTTACAGGTCAAATACATATATTACATATTGAATTTAACATTTAATAGTGAACTTGGCATCATGGTGTTGACGGCATTAATGATGGCTGCATAGTGCTGCTGGCAGTACAGTGTTGATCGTAGCAATATATATATATATATATATATATATATATATATATATATATATATATATATATATATATATATATATATATATATATATATATATATATGTCGTACCTAGTAGCCAGAACTCACTTCTCAGCCTACTATTCAAGGCCCGATTTGCCTAATAAGCCAAGTTTTCCTGAATTAATATATTTACTATAATTTTTTTCTTATGAAATGATAAAGCAACCCTTTTCTCTATGTATGAGGTCAATTTCTTTTTATTGGAGTTAAAATTAACGTAGATATATGACCGAACCTAACCAACCCTACCTAACCTAACCTAACCTATATTTATAGGTAAGGTTAGGTTAGGTAGCCAAAAAAAGCTAGGTTAGGTTAGGTTAGGTAGGTTAGGTAGACGAAAAAACATTAATTCATGAAAACTTGGCTTATTAGGCAAATCGGGCCGTGAATAGTAGGCTGAGAAGTGCGTTCTGGCTATTAGGTACGACATATATATATATATATATATATATATATATATATATATATATATATATATATATATATATATATATATATATATATATATATATATATATATATATATATATATATATATATATATATATATATATTTTATTAAATATGACCGAAAAAGTAAGATTAATAATTCTAACACGAATTTTCTCAATCTTTCGTACATTATGCTTCACTGTTGGAGGTAAATCAAACAGTGAAGCATAATGTACGAAAGATTGAGAAAATTCGTGTTAGAATTATTAATCTTACTTTTTCGGTCATATTTAATAAAATATGTCTACAGGAAAGACTGCTACCAAAATATACTAATATATATATATATATATATATATAGTGTATATTGATGATGGCTTAATAGCGTTGATGGTGTCTATATATACTATTGTTAATTCCAATATGTACTGCAATTAACAACAGACTATAGTCACCATCAACACTATAAAGCCACCATCGTCAACATAACGGCCACAACTTAGAGCATCATGTACTGGAACTAACAACAGTACAGTGTTATGGTACTTCAGTAGACTATAAAACTCTTTTCCCCTTGATTCCTAATCAACATTTAGGACTGTTCTAAACCATGTATATATCTATGCAGCCCGTCCTCCTAAGGTATTGCAACGTCAAGAAACGGGCCAACCAAAGTTTCCTTATCCTAACCTACCAGAGGACCCAAAACAGAAAACGGGACAGGATGTCAATTTCGCGAGCCGCAACCATTTTCTAGTACGACAGTTTTTGGCTTTATGTCGTCAAAATGCGACGCTTTATTAGGTGGACGGGTTGCGAGGGAACTCTCTCTGGCACCCAGCTTGCTGTTGCTAAGTTGACTGAAGTGGAAATCGACTGACAGCAGAGCTGTGGTATTGAAGAGGCGCAACAAGAAGGTCGTCGCCCGAGAAAGGGATATTCCTAGGTATTTTGAGAGATATATACAAGAGTTGTTACATTCTTGTACAGCCACTAGTACGCGTAGCGTTTCGGGCAAGTCCTTAATCCTACGGTCCCTGGAATACGATCCCCTGCCGCGAAGAATCGTTTTTTCATCCAAGTACACATTTTACTGTTGCGTTAAACAGAGGCTACAGTTAAGGAATTGCGCCCAGTAAATCCTCCCCGGCCAGGATACGAACCCATGACATAGCGCTCGCGGAACGCCAGGCGAGTGTCTTACCACTACACCACGGAGACTGTATATGTGCATTGACAAGGAAGACCGTCTACAGAATGGAAATTAGTTAGAAAATTATATGTGCAATCATAACGGGAAATAAAGCGATAACATACAAGTAACTGATCACAGGTCATGGTGTATTAGTCAGCTTTTCCCCCCCAAGAATCTCCGGAGTTGACCAGACCACACACTAGAAATTGAAGGGACGACGACGTTTCGGTCCGTCCTGGACCATTCTCAAGTCGATTGTCCAGGATGGTCCAGGACGGACCGAAACGTCGTCGTCCCTTCAATTTCTAGTGTGTGGTCTGGTCAACATGCTTCAGCCACGTTATTGTGATTCATCGCCTGCAATCTCCGGAGATTCCGTGTGGATTTGTGTCAACACGGGACCTATCAAATGTCAACACGGGATCTATCAAATGTCAACACGGGACCTATCAAATGTCAACACGGGACCTATCAAATGTCAACACGGGACCTATCAAATGTCAACACAGGATTTATCAAATGTCAACACGGGACCTATCAAATGTCAACACGGGACCTATCAAATGTCAACACGGGACCTATCAAATGTCAACATGGGACCTATCAAATGTCAACACGGGATTTATCAAATGTCAACACGGGATCTATCAAATGTCAACACGGGATCTATCAAATGTCAACACGGGACCTATCAAATGTCAACATGGGACCTATCAAATGTCAACACGGGATTTATCAGATGGATACGAGGATCTATAGTTACCTCAAGTAGGTGCATAGACTTCCACAACAGTATCAACAGATCTCCAAAGACCTATTGGAGATAAGTGCCACAATTATGTCTACAGCAGCTACAGCGGCACTGATCAACAGTGTGGCTGTAACAACGTCACGTTGTGAGGTTAACAACATTAACCATCAGACGGACTAACACAATCTGTCCTCACCCTTAATTCACCACAATATTGACGTTATAAACCCCAGCGTTCATATTCCAGTACTTTAGTGAAAATAATAACACCATAATAATGACGTTTTCTCCGACTAGCGAACATGGACGGGTCAGGTGGGTCGCCGTGAGCGCCCAGCTCGCCTGTATGGTTGTCCTGCTCTAACAGTCACTTATTATTATTATTATTGACATCTTTATTGACAAAAATTCATTACAATTTTGCCTAATCTGAGTCACTGATCTAACAATTAGATCTTGTTAGAGTGAGGATAATGCTGGTATTGACTGTCACGCAGGACAGAGGGTCATACACAAGACAATAGGTCTAAACTGTAGGCTGAAGAAAATATATATCATGGTTACAATCAACTACATTAGACAGTATACACGTTTCAGTGTATATGAAAATACAACTTTCTATTGTGCCCTGCCACACAATGGCAGGGATGGGTTCGTAAGAGATGCAGATTAAAAATAATATAAATTAAATTGTTCGCCATTTTTTTCAAATGGACAAGCAAATTTTGGATAAGTTGTTAGGATGTCGCCCAATACACCAGATTCAAGGAAATAGTTACACGTTGGTGGTACAATAGGCCAGGAGGTCTAAAGTCTTTAACGGTTTCACATTCAACAATATAGTGTTCTAGTGAATGCATTAAAGGTTTATCACAGAGTTTACAATCTGAGTATTCTGGTAGTGGCTCAGCCTCACTAACCTGCCAGATATGTCTATA